AATTTAAAAACAGAATAACCTATGTTCAAATCCCAACTGTGCCACTTGACAACAAACTTTGTTATCTTGGGTTCAAGTTAGTATTTTTGCCCCTTTTTATGTTTCCTTTCCTGGAAAATATTGATAGTAGTATCTACCTCATAGGTTGTAATAAGCTTAATATTATACCTGCCACTAAACCCTGAATAATTGCTAGCTGTCATTGTTGTTTTAGAAGGTATTGCTTCTTTTTTTAAAAAGTACTTCTATGAACATTCTTCCTCTGCTCTCCTTGGTCATTCCCTCCCTCCAAAAATGAATGATGAGAGCCTGATGTCCATAGGCCCTCTTTCTGAAAGACAGGCCATGTTCAGGCAGAACCTGTAGTTGTTTTTGCAAAACCTGTTCTCCCATTTTCTGTAAGGATGTGAATTTTCCTTTCTACTTGCCTTGTGCTAAGTGCACCATGTCTACATCCTGTAGGGGAGGTTTGCATTTCTTAGTTATTCTGCTTGGACCTGTGAGATCATTCTAGAGCAAGCGGGAAGTAAAAATAGGAAGAAGCCCTTTGTGTCCGTACATTCAAATAGAGTTCTTTTAGTCTTACCTGTTAAAAAGTAAATACTGTATTATCGTTGCTGTATAACTCAAATATATTTCTCAATTGGTTTGGAACATACCCCTCTCTTTTATTATTAGTTATCCCCCATTACCTACAGGGTTATGCAGGAAAATGTTTTTTCATTTATTTAAAAAATATTTACTAGGGCCTCCCTGGTGGCGCAGCGGTTGAGCGCTGGGCTGCAAAGCTGCCCGCAGCCTCTGCAGCGCAGATTGAATCCCCGGCTGCTCCCCGGCCACCAGAGGAGGGTCCCACATGGCGCGCAGACCTCTCCTGCCGCACCCGCTGCTCCCCTCAGCAGTATATTTCATCTTTCTGCCTGTTCTGCTCCCGCCTCTGGCTCTGGTGAATTCTCTCACCCTCTCACGCTTCTGACTGTACCCAGTGCTTGTATGAATAAATAAATAAATCTTAAAAAAAATTTATTAAAGGAAGTAGTCAACTGGAGCTCTAAAAGCTAAATAAGAACTTCAGATAAGTTTGTCACAAGGATGGATTTTGAATGTTTTGCTAGTATTTTAAAACCCTCATCTCTGTTGATTTTATTTCCTTCCACTGTATCACATTATCAAAGAACCAAGAGTGGTAACATTATGTGATAGGAATATATAGTCAAAAAGTTTATTACTTCAGTGGCCCAGTTTTCTGTTTTTGACAACAAACACATTAAAAGGAGGATACATAGTTACACAAGGGGATTATAAGTTTAATCATAAGCTTTTAAGCAGAACATAACTAGTTGTTTTTGGCTCCAGGTTTCTAGAAACCTGGAATAGAAATAAAAACCTAACTCTTAGCTCCTGCCATTGGAAATACATTGTGTAGAAATAATTGGAGATCAAAAAAGTGGTAACACCCTTCCCTCTACCCATCCCTAAAATATTCCCTGGGGAAATGAATTTCTGGTTTGAACCTGGAGGGGAAACCTCTTCCTACTTCCATCTACCTCTTTCCAGGTTTATTTGGGTTTGTTAAAAGAAACTGGATTTCAAGAGATGGTAGTGACCAAAAGAGATTACAATCTAATTCTCTTGTTTAAATATGTCGAAGGAGCACAGGACATTTTCCAAGTAGCCTTATATGATGCATACTATACATTTCCTGTCTGATGAAGATCAACTTTGGGAAAACATTATTAACCTGCAAGTTCACTTTTCAAAAGCTTCTTAATTTTGAATAGGTAACATATGGTACAAAATTTTAAAAGTATAAAAAAGCATAAACCTCTCATAACTTTCCCTATTTCCAGATGCCCAATTCCCCTTTGTAGAGACATCAACTACTACCAGTTTCTTGTATATCCTTTGCTATGCAAGACTTCATATAGTATATACATACATAGGCTTTCTTTTTTTTTCTTTTTTTTCTTTTATTAATTTTATTTTTTTTAAATAATAAATTTTATTTTTATATTCCCCATACAATTGCAGCCCCCCCATTCTGACCCCAATCCCTCCCCTCCTGCCCAGGCTTTCAATATGCATGTATAAGTAAGTGGTGGTACTGGGGACCTCCCTGGTGGTGCAAGGGCACTATCAAGCTATCTGCAGCCACTGTAGCACAAGTTCTATCCCCAGCAGGCCAGGGAGCAACCCAAATGGCGTAGCAGACCTCTCCTGTCTCACCTGCTGCTCCCCTCAGCAGTGTATTTCAGTCAGTCTGCCTGTTCTGTTCCCTGCTCTTGGCTCTGGTGAGTCCTCTTCCCCCCCCACCCCCCGTCCTCCCTCTCCCCCTTCCGTCTCCTCCCCACCTATGGTGTGTACCTCAGCTCTTGTATGCATAAATAAATAAATCTTTTTAATAATGTGGTACTTAGCAGTCTGTCTTCACAATCTTGCCAGATTTTAATTTTTAATCTTGAAAATCTGTCAAATTACCCCTTCGTGGAGGTTGTCCCACTTTATTTTCCTTTCCACAGTCCATGTGAGAGAGTAACTATTTCTCCACAACCTCACGAACACAGTGCCTTTAAACTTTGGTTTTGCGAGTCTGAAGGAAAACTAGTATCTTGTAGTATTAATTTGCATTTTTGCTATTATGCAATATGAAATTGAAGCTGACTATCTTTTTGAGATGAATTTAAAATATTTTTTCCATTACATCTCTTGACATTGCCATGTATTCACTTTACATTCCGTGTATTAACTTTGCAGTCATACTAGATCCAATTTCCCCCCACTGAAGACTAACTCAGGAACATAGGTTTAGAAAATGCTTAGTATTTTGGCAAAATTTTTATTTTCCAAACATCCAGATACTTTTATGAGGCGGAATCTAAGGCCTTGAACGGCATCACGAGCTTACCCTTGAGCCATTTCGAAGACTTGGGCTTTGAAGGAGAACAGCACCGGGGCGGGCGGGCTCCGCCCTGCGCGGGCACCTGAGGGCGCCTCGGCCTGCGGGGGAGGCCTGGTGCCCGGCGGCCGCGAGGCCCTGATCCCGCCTCCCCGCGCGCCGACTGCAGCGGCCCCTGGCGGCCGCGGAGGGCGCCCCGGTCCCGGGCCGGTTCGCGGCTGAGTCCGCTCTTCCTGCGCACACGTCCTTTTCTCCACGGTGGAAGCCGCTGCCCTCTCCAGCGGGCCGGGCTCCGCTTCGCCGCCGCTCTGCGCAGTCCGACTCGGCCGCGCTCCGGCACCGGGGCGGCCCGCGCTGCGCTGCCCACGCGCACTTCCCAGAGGTGGGGCGAAGAGGGCCGGGGCTGGGGTGGTTTCCGCGTCTCTCTCCCCGCTGCGCCCCCGCCGCCCCATTTGGGGCCATTCGCGAAGTTTTGAACTTCCGGGGTTGACTCGTCCTGCTTCGTTGCGGTGGGCGGCCGCGGGGTGCAGCCGTGCCAGCGCTGGGGCGCGGCCCTTTAAAGTTTCTGTTGTTTAAACTTCGGGGGTGTGGTCGCGGCGCCTCCTCTCTCAGCGGCTGGCTGTCCCTGGCCGCCCGGTCCTTGGCCCCTGCCCCGCCTTCCAGATGCTCTGGAGTCATGAGCCGGGAGGGCGCCGGCACCCCTCTGCTGGCTGAGGTGATCAAAGGTGAGTGCGGAGCGGGGTTTGCTGCTCCTCGGTGGCCCCCAGCCCCAGCCCCGACGCCCCGTATCCTGAGGGTACAGGGCGGCGCCCAGCCGTGGCGGAGGCCCCGAGCGCTGTGGAGAGGGGTCTTTGAACTTGAGCCAGGGCGCGTGCTTTTCATGGGTGTGGGTGGTCCCGGACTCCCAGTTCCCAGGCTCGCGGGCTTGCTCTGGGGAGACTCCGCTGATCGCCCCACACTGCACTCGGGACCCTCGCGTCCTCACACCCGTCACGGGGAATTGCATTGAATCTCTGCACCCGAGGGAGCAGACGCCTCCTTCACTGTGCACAGGGATCAAGGGTCATTAGTAGTTGGAAAGGAATAAGTTCCATCATGCGTGCGAGTGTTACGGTGGCAAGACTTTTTCAGTTGTGGAGTTGACAAGGAAATACATCCAACAATTGTGTGAGCGAAGACAAAAATGTTTAAATTACCATCTGGGGAAAGGATGGCATCCTTTTGTGTCTTACTTTTTATAAGGCTGTCTTGTTTTTGTCACAAGTTGGTAGTAAGTATTCCACCAGTTCTGCTAGTACTAGTACTAGTATTGAGGAAGACTTTCTTTCACTGAGGATTTTTAGGCAACTTTTTTTTTCAGTCGGGTGGGTGGGGAGGGGGAAGATGGGTGGAGTCCCAGCGTTACTGCCCTGCACTGTTCTTGCTAAACTTCACAGCAGCCTAACTGCATTTGTGCAACACGAAGTTCATCTCACACTTACTCATCATGTAGAAACCTCTCATTGCTTCTGTTTTAATAGTTGTCTCATTATAAAAATCACTACAAAAGTAGTGATTCCAAATAAAAAAGTAGTGTTCCCTAAGAACATTTGGATTAGCATATATGGTTTGTTTTGTTGTTTGTGTTCTATAGCTCTGAACATTGTTTTGGAAGCGGTTTTCATAACATTCTTCCTCCATTTAAGAAAAATACATTTTTTAAGTGACTTTTTAGGATATATCTTGAAAGCATAGCAAAACAGTGGCCATCACATAACTTGATGACGAGCCACCAAAGGCATGCTGAATTTTTCTAAAATTTCTTAGGTCACTTAGGAACTAAAATTGTGCGATGAGAGGTCTCCAGAAGTCAAGCCATATTGCTACATGAGGTCACTAACACTATTGAAACTTACAGTTTAAGACAGTTGCTCCCTTAAAAAATTGCTTATTATTGCTCACCAAAATAGCCAGAATATTTTGAAATTTACCATTGACAACCTTACTATCGGAAACATGCATGGGAAAATTTTTTTTACTTCATCTGAAAAGAGTTGCATCATGATATACAAAACGTTTTTTTTAATAACCTGAAGGAAGGAACATTGCCATTTTTCCATTTCAGATCGCCTTTGTTTTGCCATTCTCTACAGCAGACCAAAGAGTTCATCAAATATACATTATTTCAGCATAGATAATGAACTTGAATATGAGAGGTAAGTATTGCTTTTTAAAAGATTGTTAGTATCTTTTTTTTTTTTAATTTGAAGACTCTAAAGGTATGTTTATAAATAGGATAGCCTTGAAAAATTAATCTGTTGATTAATAGCTGCCGGATGATTTCTAAACCTTTGATAATAAAATAGACCCATAGGGGAAAAACAAAGTGAGAAGAACTTTCTTAATAATTTACATATGAAATTTAAATGGATTACAGTATAAGATATTAACTGGTGTTCTAAGTAAGTTGTGTTTTTGCCAGTGGAGAGGAAAAACAATCTTTTTGTTTAGAAGGTATTTTCATATATTATTCGAGGTTATACTTAGGCATTGTAGCACTTGTCATTTTTTTAACAAGCGTTGCTTACCAGAATATTTCTTTCAGTAGTAACACACAATTTGGTGTCTTTTTTTTCTTAATTTGATCTTGTAGCTCCTAAAAATATTTATATTCAAAACATCTAGAATATACGTATGTTTTTGTTTTCCATTTTTAAAGCTTCTACGCAGATTTTGGACCACTCAATCTGGCAATGGTTTACAGATATTGTTGCAAGATAAATAAGAAATTGAAGGTAAAGTCTTTTTACTTAAGATTTGATTTAAGTAATCATTGCAAGCCTGATGTTGGAGAGGGACAAAAGTAAGGAAACATCCATTTTTAAAAAGGAAACGGGAAAAAAAAAACAAAGGAAATGTCATTTTTCTCTATGCAGTAGTGTTTGGTACTTATTTTTTGTTCTATAAAGTCATAGTGTGTATATTTGTTGTCCAGACTTTTGATTGAACAATTAAATTTGAGTCATTTGCTTCTGGTTTGGATTGGTGATATTCAAATACTTGAAAAGCCCAAGAGAAAACTGGTTAATAAAGTCAGCCTCCTACTATCTGACCTAATGGAACTGAAACCTAACAAGAGAAACTTGTCTTGCTTTAGTCATTGTTTTTTCTGCCTTCACTTTCATAGGGAGTGCTAGCAAATGAATACAGAAAAATTGGCTCATCTTACATCCTCCCATTCTATCTTATATCTCCCATGATTATGTAATACTTAAGACTTCACCTTTACCCTTTACACATAGGAACAGGGAAAGGTAAGGCAAATAGTTTATCTTTAAAGTTATATGTCACTGAGAGTTGCAAAAGTATATTTCTATTAATTTGAATTTAGATCTCATTCATTTATTTTAAAGACTTTGACTTAGTCATGCATAATAAGAACTGTTTATGTACTGTTTGCAATTCCACATTAGTCACTATACATTCTCAACGAGAATATACTGAATTTGGGGCATGTACTTTTTGAAATCTACTTTACTTATTCAATTGATTACTTATACGACTATTATACCGGAAAAAAAAATCTTTTTATTTAAAAATTATTTTTATAATTGAGTAACATTGGTTTAGAGCCCCACATACACGTTTTAGGAGTACAGGTTCTTCCGATGTGTGATTCCATTAGCAGAGTACTAGTAACCCTCCACCAGGCTACTACACCCCCTCTATTCTTTGCCTCTCAACCCATCCCCACCCAGTCCCACTAAGAAATAGAAAAGCAGCCTCAGTTCTCTAAGTCAGACTCCGAGGGTTTGTTTTAGTTTGGTTTTGTTTGTTTCTTTACTTGGTTTCTTTATATTCCGCACGAGAGAAACCATCCAGCACTTGTCTTTTTCCTTCTGATTTGTTTTGCTTAGCATGATTCCCTCCAATTTCATACATGTTGTCACAAATGGCAAGATTTTGTATATTGGCTCTGTAGTCTGCACTTTACTGATTTATTGCTTCTTACAGTTTTTAGGTAGAGTATTTAGGATTTTCTATGTATATTATCATGTCATTTGCAAATATGGTAGTTTTACTTCTTTCCAATTTGGATTCCTTTTATTTCTTTTGTCTTGTCTAATTGCTTGAGCTAAGTCTTTCAATACTATATTGAATAATAGTGGTAAGAGTAAATAGCCTTGATCTTGCCTGATCTCAGAGGAAAAGATTTTAGTTTTTCTCTATTGAACTTGATGTCAGCTATGGGTTTGTCATATGTGGCCTTTGCTATGTTGAGGTATTTTCCTTCTATTCCCATTTTAGTGAGATTTTTTATCCTAAGTGAATGTTGAATCTTGTCATATGCTTTCTCTGCATCTATTGATATGATCACATGAATTTTACCTTTTATTTTGTTGATATGCTAAGTTACATTGATTGATTTTTGGGTATTGAACCATCCTTGAATCCCTGCAATAAATTCCACTTGATCATGATATATGATCCTTTGTTAAACTTTTGAATTCAGATAAAATTTATTTTCAATAAAAATTAAGTTATATAAAAATTTTATGGGTGAGCAGGCAGATTTTTTTCTCTGCCATTGAGCATCAAACCTAAAATTCCATCTCATAAGTTTTAGAAGCATCTGTCAGATGAGTTATTAATATGTAAAATGAAAGTAATATACCCTTTTGTACTATAGGTGTATTCACTGTAGATTTATACACAAATGTAGATACCTTTCTGTACTTTATTCTTCTCTTGAATAGGCATCTAAGCATTTATTGCCTTGTGTAGTTAAGTTCCTCCTCTCCTTTTCCATTTGCCAGTGTCAGGCCTTTTGTTTACTGGGGTTAGGAAGCTAAAAACAATTTCCTTTCCCTCCACTTGTGTTTCTTTGCTATAATTTTGTAAGAAATTTTTCGCTTGTACTCATCCACCAATGGAATTTTATCCTTTGGGTCAACCAAGTATATATAGGTCCTTTTTTAATTAATTTTTTTTTCCACACTTAACTGGAAGAACTTGCAGTACGTTGATCATTTGACTAGATCAAACCATTACTGCCTATTCACTTAAAAGTGGTAAAAGTGTGTCTAGAGCTTTAATTGAGTGTATTGTGCTTGTGCTGTTTGGTGGCTGCTTCGGTTTTCTTTTTGTTTTTTTAAAACCAACTTGGATGTCTTACTCCATGTCAACAACTAAAGGAAAATGTGTACACATTGATCACTGACTCACAGAAGCCAAGGAGTATGTACTTACTGAACTGCATATGTTCTGTTCCTTACCCTTACCTGAAATCATTTCCACTCAAATTAGTGGAGTACAGGTGGGGAAATGTTAACTAGTCATTTCCTGTTTGTTTTTAAATTTAGTATTGTATCTTTAGAAATATGTGCAGATCGGAATATACATCTCAATGAGTTTTCATAAGCTGAATATACGTGGTAATCAATTATCTTGATAATCAGATCAAGAACAGAATATTAGCACAACCTGGGAGAGCCCTACTTAAGCTTGCTCTGTTGTCTCTGTACCACCTTCATCCTGCCCCACCTTTAACTTAAAATGAAAAGGTATATAAAAACAAGCAAAAATAAGTTGTTTGTTAGAAACTTAAAGGTTTGGGGACTAGATTTTTTCAAAAAAGTAGCAAAAGAAAAGACAAGCTCTCTTCCACTACCTTTTCCAGCTTTTTACTACTTACAGAGTAGTCAGTAAGCCAGTTCATATGTCTTCCCCTCCTCCTTAATTGTACATACATTCTAATCCAAGAATTTGTATTTTATGGGAAAGAAGGTACATTGTGTTTTGGGAATCAAATTTAATATTTTTAAAGATCTTGCTAATATAATGCTTATGTATTATGAGATTTGGAATTTTTCATCATCACAAATTAAAGTTTGAGAAAACATGAAATTGAGAAGAAATACTAAAGCTGGTTTATCTTTATGCAGACAGTTACAATGATAAGGAAGAAAATAATTCATTTTACTGGCCCTGATCAGAGGAAACAAGCAAATGCTGCTTTCCTTGTGGGATGTTATATGGTAAGTATTTAATTAATTTTGTTAATGTATTAGTGAAGATGTGTACAATGGTGGTACTTTAAATTTGTGATTGGAATTTGAAAGTTTTTCTAAGGTAATGTCTTCAGTTTTCCTGAGAAAGACAGTTTTGCTTTTTAAAATTGACCAATGCGGGAGGCTGTACATATGTAGGCTGAGAGATATATGGGAAGTCTTTGTACCTTCTTATTAACTTTTTAAAAAAAATATTTATTTTTATTTATTTATGCATTCAAGAATTGGGATGTAGGCCAGAGGTTCCAAGTGTGTGTGTGTGTGTGTGTGTGTGTGTGTGGAGAGCAGAACAGGCTGATCCACTGAGACACTCTGCTGAGGGGAGCAGTGGGTGAGACAGGAGAGGTCTGCTAGGCCATGTGGATCGCTCTCTGGCGGGGCATGGAACTCAGGCCATAGTGGCTGGAAATAGCTTGATACTGCAGAGACTTTAACACCTGTGCCACGAGGGAGGTCCCCTTCTTATTAACTTAGTTGTGTCTAAACTGTTGTTAAAAAAAATACAAAGACCAACTCCTATGAAAATCTTTGTATGTATTATGTCACTTAATCAGAAGTAATGCCCCAAACTACTTTTATTCACTTCTGATCTGTTTAGTGAAGTTGTACTTTTAAGGAAAATATCAAAGTGCATAATAAGAAGTAAGAGTGCTTTATAATTTGAATATAGGCAGTTTTTTCTTAGCTAAGGTATTATTCTCAGATCATTTTTTATTCCCACTAAAACATCTAACAGGCGGTTGTGGCATGTCAGTATTGAAGGAAAATGGGTAGCATACTACATAGATTATTATATAATCTATTTGTGTCATGAGATATATGCTTTGGAATAGCCAGTATTTAAATGAGTTGCAAAAAATCATTATTTCTACTATCATGGGAGATTTTTTTTTTTAAGAGTTAAATTTTATCTATCACTTAGTTCATTAAGTTGCAGGAGTACCGAAGAAGTATCATTTCTGAGTATCATTTCTGAGTATGCTATAAGCTTCTACAGAGTAGGCCCCCATCTTTCTGGTGTTGTGGAAGCTAGCTCTCTATTCACTGGATGTTTCTTCCATTTCCACCAACTATTAATATGTTATTTTCCTAGATTTAAAAAAAAGTTGATTTTTGAATTTGTTAGATAAGTTCTTTCTTCCCCCATCTTGCCATTTGCCTCTGTCATGTTCTCCTCCCTTTTAAAAAATATTTTTGGTATATAGTTTGATCAGACTAGAAGTTTTAGTACTGGTTGAAATTGCACCTCAAAATTTAATGAAGCTTTGTTTTACATCTAAGGTATATCATTAGCAACAACGGTTAAGACCTTTTCTGGTTTTGTTTTCTAAGTTGTGCTCACAAAACTGCTTGAGAGAGATGTTTATGAGATAACTTTAAATTTCATAATCTGAACATATGAAACACAAGTTGTAATTATGTTTATTAAAATTTGCTTTCTGAAGCTTACCCGTATTTGGCGTGTGTGTGTGTGTGTGTGTGTGTGTGTGTGTGTGTGTTTCCTCTCACTCCTAGTGTTTATTACGCCTTGCAGAAAAAATCCTTGGGGTGGGGAGGAGAGGCTATGCATGGTACCAAGAAAGAGAGTATGGAGAGACTGCAGTTTTAACTGGTTCATTTGTTTCCCTAGTTGGACTACTGGGGAGAAGAATGCTATGGATTATAGTAAATCCTGACAGCTTTGCAGAAAAAGGGGCATAGCCGGAATTCTTTGGGTTAATTAAGTATAACCAGAATTCCTTGAGATAATTAACTATGGACCCTGAAGAAATGGCCTTTGTCTGATATTGAAGTCCCTGCACTGCCCAGGAGAAAACCTGGATGACTCTAGCTGGTCCATCTAAGAGAACGTGATCCTGAGTAAAACATAAAGCAGACAAGTTTCACCTCAGCTACCTTTGGTTAATTCAGTTGTCCCTGGTCAGATGATATGTCCCCAAGATGGTGACTGTGGCATGGTGGAAACTTAAGGGTTGTTTTTAAATTGCAGCATTTGATGATTTATAAATAAGAAACCTCTTTTTAAAAATATTGTTGCTGCTTTTTTTTACTGCTAGTGAAAAAGCAATATCCCCTTCACATATTTATTGAAAATTTGTTCATGTATTTGTTCCCAGTTTGGTGTTTGCCTTTTGACTTTGTTTATGGTTGTATTTTGGCATACAGATGTTTATCTTTCTATGGTTAATGTATTTTTAGGTTTGGAAATCCTGCAAGGATTTTGTGCTCTTAGGTAGCACTGTCTTGATTGGTTAGGAAAGTGCCTCGTAAGCAATTTGGACATTAACTTGAGTTTATTCCTCTACTCAATTAAAAGCCAACTTGGCAGGAGAATGACAGCTCTTGGCTCTAGCAAAAGTCATTGCAGCCATGACTGGCTGGTTAAAGTTAGAGCTTAGAGATTCAGTGATGTGAGGTGAGGGAAAGGAGAAAAACTTCTAAGAAAAGGAAATCTATTAATAGTACCAGGAAAGTATTATATATAAAACACTTATATAAGATAGAAAATATAAATATCTCAAAAGATTGTACATCAAGTAAGTATGCTCTGATCATTCTTATGTACACAAAAGGAGAGGGTGTGAAAATGAAGTGTTAGTTTTTTTTAACATATACACACATAAATATACTTCACCTTCTATAAATGTAAAAGATTTTTACTGCTATTTATTTGTCTAAAACAGTTTATACTTTACAAATACTTAAAATACTAAAATATTTAGAATAGGATTGATATGACCATGTTCATTTTTTTTTTTTAATTTTTTTTTTTTTTTATAGAGGCATGTTTTCTTTCTTTCTTTATTTGTTTGTTTGTTTATACATGCACTGGGTACAGTCAGAAGCGTGGGAGGGTGAGAGAATTCACCAGAGCCAGAGTGGGGAGAGAGCAGGCAGAAGGACCGAAGTACACTGCTGAGGGGAGCAGCGGGCGGCAGGAGAGGTCTGCGCGCCATGCGGGACCCTCCTCCGGTGGCCGGGAAGCAGCCGGGGATCGAACCGGCGTCGCAGAGGCCGCGGGCAGCTTCGCAACCCAGCACTCAACCGCTGCACCACCGGGGAGGCCCGACCATGTTCATTTTTTAAATTATTTTTTAAAGATTTATTTATTATTCATACAAGAACTTGGGTGAGGCCAGAGGTGGGCGGGATGAGAGGTTTCACCAGAGTTAGAGTGGGGAGCAGAACCAGTGGATCTACTAAAATATACTACTAAGGGGAACAGCTGGCAAGACAGGAGAGGTCTGTTGTGCCATGTGGGTTAGCTCCCTGTCCGGAGATCGAACTCAGGATGCAGCGGCAATAGTGTAAAAGTGCTGAGACTTAACCCCTTTGCTACCAGGGAGGACCCCCATGTTCATTTAATCCTTTTATCAGCTGGTTGGATGCCAGGTGTAATTGTGAGAAGGGAGAGGGTAGCTTCACTGTTCATTTGTCTTCAGTGTATTTCCTAGTATTGTATTTTATGTGCGCTGGTAAATGGATTTACTATTTGAAATGGAAGAATATTTGGTAACAAATTAGGATGAAACTAAACATCTTTTGCACTACTCATTGTAGAAGAGTTGAGGAACATAAAAGATCACCGAGGTTTTCTTTTACAAAAAAGGTAAGGGAGCCATATCATTTTATCAAATGATAAATTTGCTGCCCCGTTCTGTGGTAAGCCAGTGGTTATTAACTAGCCAGATTTTGAGGTGATCATACTTAACCTTTCATTTCAAGTAAAGGTGAAATTTAAGTAAAAAGTAAGAAAAAGTAAGTTTTTAAAACCAATTCATGTTTAAGAGTATTTTGAAAATAAAAGTTTGAATCTTTGTTTTGTTGTAAAAAGATGTCATGTACAAAACCAGATTTGTACCCTTGAGTGAGGAACTTCAAAACTGTTTTTCCTCCCTCCTTCCTTTCTTTTTTTAAACACCTTTTACATTTATAGAAGGTGAAGTAGCTGTATGTGTGTCTATGCAACACACACATACAGTTTTATCACCTGCTTTTTTCAGTGATCTGTTCTTTCATTTTAGTACATATTTTACTATCTTTATTTCCATATTATGTCCATTTTCTCCAAGTGATCAAAATGTGCAAAATAATATCTAAACCAGCACTATATACTATCTGTACTTACTGTACCCTTAATCTCTCTCACACATTGGCCCTTTATGATTAATTGAAGAGTCCAAACCTAATGTTCAACCTTTTGAATTTCTCTGGTTTCTTGGGGTATCTTTTTTTTTTTTTAATGATGAAAAATTGTATTTAGAATTAGCCAGCTGGAGTCAGTTTAGATGATCCCAATTTTGTTGGCAACATCCAAAGCATCGTAGTCAGGAGCCAGTCGAACATAGGCCTTCTTTTCTCCATCAGGTCTGATCAGGGTATTGACCTTTGCCACATCAATGTCATAGAGCTTCTTCACAGCCTGTTTGATCTGGTGCTTGTTGGCCTTGACATCCACAATGAACACAAGTGTGTTGTTGTCTTCTATTTTCTTTATGGCTGACTCAGTGGTAAGAGGGAACTTGATGATGGCATAGTGGTCAAGCTTATTTCTCCTGGGAGCGCTCTTCCGCGGATATTTGGGTTGCCTTCGGAGGAGTCGCAATGTTAAAGCTCAGGCCTCCGAAAAGTGAGTGAAGTGCGGATCTTCTTTTTCTTATGGCTGTGGACACCTTTCAGCACTGCTTTCTTGGCCTTCAAAGCTTTTGCCTTGGCCTCGGCTTTGGGAGGGGCAGGGGCTTCCTTCTTTGCTTTCGGCGCCATCTTCGTGAAAAGGGTTTACTTGGGGTATCTTTTTATTTACTTTTTCATTCTCTGTATTTCTTGTGAATTAGAAGTTTTAGCTAAAGACTTGTTCATTAGGGACACATGTTACATACATCACATATAATACTTATATTACTATTAATGGTACTAAAAATGACCATTAGATTCGATGCTAGCATTGAATTCCTTCAATGTATGGT